CCACGCACCCACGCACGCACCCACCCCGCACCCACCCCGCACCCACCGCGCACCCACCGCGCACCCACCCACGCACCCACGCACCACGCACGCACTCACGCACCCACCCACGCACGCACTCACGCACCCACCCACGCACGCACTCACGCACTCACCCACTAACTCACTCACGCAGTCACCCACTGACTCACTCACACACTCACTCACACTCACTCACGCTCACTCACACTCACTCACGCTCACTCGCGCTCACTGGCGCTCACTCGCTCACTCACTCACACAGAGACAGCTCAAGCACGAAAACAGCTTCACGTGAAACAAGGCCTGAGTGGTGTCTGTGTCCGGGACTGCTGAAAATGTGGTCCACGCCACCATGCGAATTGCCACTGAACACGCGGTGCATGCCTGAGCTACAAAGCGAGCAGTCGAATCGACGGAGGACTCGAATCCGACACTGTGGCACCTGATATCAACGTCGATCCCACCCTGCATGTTGGGTACAACCCATCCTTCAAATCCGCCTCGACAGAAGGGGCTATTTTAAGCTGAGGTCGGACTCATGAACATCACGGAAAGGGATCCCCTTTGGCCACAGTAAAGGACTTGACAACGGGAGAAGTCAAACTCAGGTGAAGCTCCGCCCAAGGCTTTGGCGCTCGGAGAGTTTCTGGATAGTTGGAGATCCTGTGACGGAGTTGAAGTCGCCAACGAGGATCACCTAAGAATCGATCCAAGGGCATCAAGCAAGCAGCTGCTGAGATTCTAGAACTGAGCAAGCCGCGTCATCATCGGACTCTGCGTTTTCGCCAATTACCCTCATGATGTTGTATGCAGTGGCCTGGCAAGCGCATCAAGAAGAGAAGATGAGGCGAGGCGACTCAAACGCCCAGCGGGCCTCACATCCGCATTTGCCGCCGCTGCTCAGCGGAAGCGGGCCGTGGAAGTTCAGAAAAAGCACTGTCCGGCCTCACAGCGCGAGAAGCTCCAAAAAAGGCCTGCGTACGCTTCGGGTTCGCGCGCGCGTCATGTGCTTGCATGAATTTCAAGTCTCACAGCGGAGCATCTGGGACTGCTACGGGGCTCAAGATTCCGCATTTTGAGCACCAGACGGCTCTGAACTGGCGTGCCGATGCTGGGTTCTGAGTCCGACGCTGTTTTGTCTATGCTTCACTCGAACCCACCTTGAAGGTGCATCGCATCTGCTCTGCTGGCAAGACATGGATCCGCAAGATCAAATGCCGAGAGGTTCTGTGGGTCCCTGACTGCACAGCTCGTTGGCCGTACCTGCTGGCTCAACTATGCAGACTTCTGCAGAGCACAGATAGTGAGAAACGGCTCGAGAAGCCACCAGCGTCCCGGCGCACCATTGATCCCGCCTGTCTTCCGCAATGTCAGACTGCCCGCGGCCTTTGGCACATCTAAAGATCCAAGGATTGGCAAGTAGGGACAAGATGGGGGAAGGTGCCAGCATTCGCTAGTTCTTTGGCACTCTCACACCGAACCCAGGCTAAACTCCTACATTCAGATCTGTCTCCTCGAAATTAACCGGGGTAGGACCAGAGTCGTTCGTAATTCAAGAAGCCCTTTTCAGTAGCAGTACTTAATATTTTGGCAAAGAGCTGTTTGCAAGAAGGGTGTCATACCCGACAAAGGTTTGTTGCCCTTTCGGATCCCTTTCCTCCACGAAGCGCTTCAGGCCATCCACATTCAAAGATGCCCTTGTTTCCGTAATGGACGATCCAGAAGCCACGAGCATTTCGCAGTGCAGAAAAACGTTGTGGACAGTGTTGACGTGCAACTCGGTTGATTGACTTCGAATCTGGTTTTCGTGACTGGGGTTCAGGAAGACAAAGTTTGAGTCACGCTGCCGCACTGTTTCTAAATTCGTACAGCGACCAAGCACCAAGCATAGCGCGCTCCATCACGTGCTTGCAAATTCTCATAGCCCTCAATGTTTTCTGGGCTTATGCAACAGTGCTGCCTAATTCAAAACAAGCCTCTCCAGCAAATCCGACACTTGGTGCCTCAATCATGTGGTGTCATAACACGAAGGATGCTTCTCATTGTTCAAGCATCACACACGCGAGAGCATACCGTCTGCCATACGAACCTTACCGCTCGCCCATTTCACGGACGGATATCATATCTCCGACTATTCAGGTCTCATTCCTGATGACCTTCTTTACCACCGCAGTACAAGAGTTCGCCACGCGATCTGTGACTGATATGTCAGGCTCGGGGAGCCCCTTTTCGTTCGCAGACTCCTTCTTACACAAGGTCCTGCAAGGCCTCTCCGCCGGAACCATCTTATAGTACAGTTTATTCCGGCGAATCAGCGACTCCGCCAGGCTGGCCACGTCAAATAGACTGTCGTCCTCTCCGCTTCCCAGCAGCATGTGCATGTTCAAAAAGCCGTATGTCCACACTTTCGTCCCGGCGATATATCAGAAGCATGTCTCATCAAAGGAGATCGCCCCATCATTTTGATGGTCCAACCCTTAGCTTAGTCTTACCTTTGCCGCACGCAAAGAGACCTGGGGCCGAGCATCAACACGAAACACCTCGTTTCCTGAATATTTGTATCGAAATGGATCTCTCAACATGCAAATCTTTCCTAACGAGCATTTTCATCGCCTCATATTACTCCTAAACCATAAGGATCTCCAATGATCTAAGCCTATCTCCTGTCTCGAAAAGCGACATCACATTTTTCATTGCGATCCTCTTTGTTGTAGTGAATTTGTAGTGACCCTACCCGTTGTTATCATGTCTGGACAACATATTCGTGGATCTTGCATGCTCACGAGGGCCGCATTTAGTCTGTTTGAATCCGAAACGCAATGGC